CCTTAACAAGAGCAGCAGATTCTGGCAGTCCATGAAAAAGAAGTATTTTTCTACGGCTGTGCATCTCCATGCTATTAACTTGGCGAACAAGCAGGTCGATTTGGTCTTGCAGACTACATATTGATGACAAGACGAATTTTCTAAATGTTGTAAAATCCGCAGTGAGGCTAGCAACAGTGGATGATGGACTCACTCTCTCATGGCTCACCTCCATAGATGTTCATGCGCTCAGTGATTATACTTTGTAACTGTGACAAGGTATCTTGAATTGCGTCTATTATGTTGATCAGTGAAGTGCAGTGATAAAAATAGTGTTGTTGTTCAGTAACAGAGTAGATAACACTCTCCGGCAGGTACTTTACAGTTAGGTACTATTAATTTAACATAAATAGTATTTATTTGTTTCTTAGGTTTTCACGCACATCACTCATTAAATAAGACTACTTTTAACGGGTTAATAGATAATGTATAAATAGTATTGATATAAAATAATAAATGAAATTATTTTATACGCTTTAAAATTTGATAACTTTTTAATGCAACCGCTTTTTACGTAATCAAGGCATTTACGTTACCGTTAGATTAGATACAGAGGCATATATTTGGGATAAAGTATACCTGATAATAATACCAGCCCAAATTGTATTCCGTTTTACGTGTATTTGGAAAATTACAACTGAAAACTAAAATTGTTTATCAGACATGTTGGGCGTATAAATATGTTTCTTGACATAGGCAGGCCCATGAGCCTACCTATGGACAAGATACGTATATATTCCGTGTTATCAACAACATTAACTGTTTCTGCTAGATGTATAGGTATATGTGCCGTAGACCAATTATGAAGTGAATTAGAATAAATACGTTTCTTGTCCATAGGTAGGCCCATGGGCCCAACATATCTGATAAACAATTTTAGTTTTTCAGTTGTAATTTTCCAGATACACGTAAAATGCAATACATGTTGGGCTCGTATTATCATCAGGTACACTTTATTCCAAATATAAATTGTAAGGGTTCCGAAGCTTCATGTCCTACCTCTGTATCTAACGGTAACGTAAATTCCTTGATTTATGATTTCACCATATCGTTAAAACGTCCGAAGAATCTTTACAATGTCACAACACGACTGATATTGTACCTCTATTGTGCATGTTTTATTCTAAAAAGTATCAGTTGTTTTAATTTTGTGTTTTGACTTTGACGGAAGAAAAAAGTATCTTAAATGCTTAAATGTTTGCTTTATATTGTAAGCTTACGCTTCGAACTAAGAAATTGTAACAGAAAGTGCTAAAGCAAATTTGTACATCATTCTCTTTCTGCTCAAAATATAAAATAATACCTAACTACATGGAATTATTATGCGTTTAAAGTACGTAGATCCTGAAAGTAGTTTTATATAAAAGAATTAATAATTGTACAACTAAAAAGTGAACGTGGAAACACTTTTCGTAATAAAATATCGATTTTTTTTTGCGGAAATATGACCTAATAATTCGGTTTAAGAATTCGCTCGTAAATTTCTCATGTAATACAAAATCACGTTGTATAAAACAAAGCACAAAATATTCGGTTCAATAATTTATTAATCAACATTTCAATAAATAATGGTATGGTATTAACAATTATAATTTAGTGGTGGTAGGAGACGGCCGGGGATGCGAAGGTGACGTGTCCGAGAGGCGCGCTGTATGCCACCTTGGCGACGGGGGCTGCATAGGCTACTTTGGCGACAGGAGCGGCGTAGGCAACAGGGGCGGAGTAGGCGACCTTCGCAATGGGGGCGGCGTAGGCGACCTTAGCGACGGGGGCGGAGTAGGCAACAGGGGCGGAGTAAGCGACCTTGGCGACAGGGGCGGCGTAGGCGACCTTGGCGACGGGGGCGGAGTAGGCTACAGGGGCGGCGTAGGCGAGCTTGGCGGGCGCGGGCGCGGGGTGTCCCTCGTAGCGCACGATGGCGTTGAAGCCGTGCTCCTTGTCAGCGGTGTACTCGACGATGCGATGCACGCCGTCGGGCTGCAGCAGTGAGTAGGAGCCCTGGACAGCGTCGCCGGCGCGCGCCTCCTTCTGTTCCTTGATGTCGCCGCTGTGTTGGTCGTGCACGGAGTACTGGAACTCATAGTGAGCGGGCGCCTCCACCTCGGCGTATGCTACTTTAGCCACCGGCACCAGGGGAACGGCGGACGCCGCTACGGCCAGGGAGAGGACCACGAAGAACTGCAACAGAAATATTCCCATTTTAAAATAACCATACTGTAATATAACTTATCCTGAATGATTTTGTCTTTGGCTTGTACGAATTCCAGCTCCGAGGTAAAGCTAAAGAAACGATCACTCTAGATGCACGGTTGCAAAAGGTACCAACCAATATATGACTGCGTTAAACAATATATTTTTACGAAAAGTTAATAAAATCACCAAGTTTAGCTTGCAGACAATCTCGCTCTACCCTGGAGGTCTAAAAATAACAAGAACTTTTATAATTCATAAAATATCTGGTCATTTTAAGATTTTGATAATTAAATGTAATATATGAACAATGAATAGTTAGCATTGCAATCTCCCTGTTAAGATCGGCAGCACTGATAAAAAGGTACAAAAAGCTTAAAATTTAGCTTACTTTAGCTGCCATTGTAAGATTTTTAGTATTGTTTCTTTGCTTGTAGAAACTCAACTGTGACAATGCGTGGACAACGACACATTTTATACTTTCGCCTACGGGTGCAAATTGTTGAAGTACAAGTTTATCGGCAACAGTTGACCGTAGTCTAATTTAATCTCACTTATGATTGAGAGGTCATGGTCGTGTAGGTAAGTAGTCAACCTGCATTTTTTAACATTCTTGATAAGTATCGTATTAGTTTGACTCGACACTGGAGATAAGTACCAGCTGTCGCTTTGATTACAAAAGGACATTGCTCGTTCCCCATACATTGAATGCCCAAAACGCACAGCAATGAGAAAATGCTAGTTGTGTTCGGAATAATTCGTTGAAATACGGACAACTTGAGGAACCATGGCCTACTACAGAATGTATTAGATTTTCAGGTCATAATTATTATACTTAATCGTAAACGATGTGCACTTTATATATTCTGAATAGATTTACTGTTTACCTCTATGTAAGCACTTAAATAATATGAATTAAATGAACATAAAATGCAATTAATAATAAAAAATATTGAATGCTCATATTTACATTTATTTATGAGTTTTGGCAGTTGGCAGGTATGACACCTATACCCATATACCTGTTTAATAATAGATTTCTTTTAAATGAAATGTACATTTTTTTTTAATGAAATGTTTCTTTCCATTTACCTGTTTCTATATTTTATTAGGTTTGTACCAGGTTATCATTATGATTTTCATAAAAATAATATAGGTATTATATGGGATGGAAGTATAAACTATCTTTACATAATTTCAGAATTTATCTACCTATAAATATAATATAAATACTAGTGATAAGTATTATTAGTATTATTAATTGAGGAGGGTAGTGTACCTAGTTCTATTCTTATTTTAATAGATACCTATGGTCGCGTATATTGCAGTAATTAAGACTATGCATTCAAAATGGTTGAAAGAGAATTGAATAAAAAAACACTTGTATTGGAAATTATTTTTTGAATCTCATTTTCAGAAGCTTTTGAATTTAGATGAGACAGCCTCATAGGGCTCTAAAGATGACATGACAGTAAATTGTGTCGTAGTTACAGAACTTTTAATTTTTATTGTTTCACATCGGAATGTCCGTTTGATTAATTGCTAATAAGGTAAAATATTACATAAAAATAATAGTGAAGGACATTCGATTGTTCATGCTCGGGCAGATTTAGTCGATGTCCTTTGCTAATACATTATGTATTGAACTTTCGTCAATGGTGAAAATGTTTTCTGGAGCCTTGTGTAAGGTACCTGGATAAGAGTTTTCATTTGATAAATCCTCTTCTAAAAATTGTGTGCTAAATTTAAATAAAATCCATTCAGCTTTTAAGAGTGATTGAGTAGCCGAGCCACATCCAAACGTATTTAATTTTCTTTTCATTTGCATTTTCAAATTCATAACCAGATTTTGCCCGCGATATCGTCCGCGTAAACTTCATTATGTACAAATAAATAAATATCTAGATATGTACATGTTATTCGGGACTAAAATTTTAAGTTTTTTTTTTGAAGCTAAAGCTTTCCTCCTGTCACTGAATCCCAAACATAAGTCTTTGTGCCAAAATACCGAAAAATAGAATACATTTATCAAAATTCAAGTAAGTAATTTCTAAAATATAATAATTTCCAGTCTTTGGCAAGTGCCAAATCCAGTCTCCCAAATTAACCTTTTACTTTAAGTCCTAATAAGTTAAGAACGGACTCGTTTTTACAATATTGTAAAAATGAAGAAAAATTGCATTTTTGCAAATTGTAAATTCATTCAGTCAATTACGTAAGAAAGTACTTGATGCAGTGTTGCTAGACCGTACCGCTTTTCCAATTTGTCTCCCGCTTCTTTGACAATGGAACCGCGTTCCGCTTATAACCTACGCTGTTTCGTTTTTTTCAAATAAATCTACTATATCAACCTCTATTTTCCTCACTCATGCTACCATGCATTTTTATAACACCCGCGACTTCATTCAGTTTACAGTTAGTTTTTGAGAATCCCACGGGAAACCTATTTTTTCGGGATAAAATGTGTCCTAAGCGTGTATCTAGGTAATATAATTATGATAAATTTCATACAAAATCATTCAGACCTTTTAGCATGAAAGAATAGCAAACATCTACACATAAATCTATACAATAATATTAGTAGTATAAGAACGAAGGAAGTAGGTTTAGGTTCTGAGTACGATTACAAGTTAGTGCCTTATAATTTTACAGCTGAGCTCACTAAATTAATTTCTTGACCTGCAATAAGGTCAAATTTTCTTCCTCAAACGGTAGGTCAAATCGGTGGCGTGGCGCGGGCGGTGCCCTGTCTCTCCGTACTATGTCATACGTGTCGTAGTCGTAATAAATCGTAGGGTGGCGTAAATTTTAGGTCATCTGTAAAAAAAAGTTATAAGATAGATAAATAAATTATTTCAAAAAGCTTTTTTTCAAATGACCTTAGTTTAATCGATTCAGGCGATGTTATATAAGGCAGGCTATTAAACAATCTATAAGGTCAACACCCTCTGACAAGCTACCTATGTCACCAACCAACTCACACCCGAGGCTAAAGATTTTGTAAGTAGGTATAAAATGTATCGACGCGGTCACGTTGTCACATTCAAGCTTAACTAAGTAACCACAATGGCAGCTAAAGTAAGTTCCAAGCTTGTTCAAAGCATAGTAGTTCATAGTATAAAAAATGAAAATTTGAATCTTTATGCAAATAAAAATTATAGATTAAAATAAGATCTGAACTTTTAAATATCTAATTAGGTATTTAAAAGCTCAAATCTAGGTATCTATTTTTCATAGTATGAAATTACAGAGTACTAAATTATTACTTAGTATGACGACTCTCTTTAGATATTTCGGCGATAAAGGCAAAATGAATACTATGCTTATATCACCCACATTGAAATATTTTGGTGGATAAAATAATGATTCTAATAATTTTCTAGTTCTTCGTGGTAGCTTTACCGAGGTAGTAAGCTGGAATTGGTACTAGCCACAGACAAAATCAGTCAGAATAAGTTATGTTACAGTTATTGTCACATGGTTATTTTTAATGGGAATATTTTTGTTGCAGTTCTTCGTGGTCCTCTCTCTGGCCGTAGCGGCGTCCGCCGTCCCCCTGGTGCCGGTGGCCAAAGTAGCGTACGCGGAGGTGGAGGCGCCCGCTCACTACGAGTTCCAGTACTCCGTGCACGACCAACACAGCGGCGACATCAAGGAACAGAAGGAGGCGCGCGCAGGCGACGCCGTTCAGGGCTCCTACTCGCTGCTGCAGCCCGACGGCGTGCATCGCATCGTCGAGTACACCGCTGACAAGGAGCACGGCTTCAACGCCATCGTGCGCTACGAGGGACACCCAGCGCCCGCGCCCGCCAAGCTCGCCTACGCCGCCCCTGTCGCCAAGGTCGCTTACTCCGCCCCTGTTGCCTACTCCGCCCCCGTCGCTAAGGTCGCCTACGCCGCCCCTGTCGCCAAAGTAGCCTATGCCGCCCCCGTGGCCAAGGTGGCATACAGCGCGCCTCTCGGACACGTCACCTTCGCATCCCCGGCCGTCTCCTACCACCACTAAATTATAATTGTTAATACCATGCCATTATTTATTGAAATGTTGATTAATAAATTATTGAACTGAATATTTTGTGCTTTGTTTTATACACCGTGATTTTGTATTAGGTACATGAGAAATTTACTAGCGAATTTTTAACACCGAATTATTAGGTCATATTTCCGCAAAAAAAAACTGATATTTTTTTACGAAAAGTAAGTAGCCACCATGGCGTATAGATAGACGCTTGCGATACAAGTTTACTCGCGCCATTGTCTACCTACCCTAACGCAATAGGGGTAGGAGTAGCTTTCACAGCGAAAGAAACACAACACGTGGTAGTGTTATTCAATTGTGGATTTCTGTGAGGTAGCGGTTACTTAACCGTAACCGCTACGGTTACTTCGCTAGAAGGGTGCTACAATTCGCACGGAAAATCCGCTATTCCCTACCTCTGTCGTAAAAAAAACTTGTAAGTGGACTATACTTGCATCCGTTAACATTATGGTATGTACGGGAAAATGTCGTCGTCGATATTTATAGGCACAGGGGTGGCTAGGGGTGCGGGGGTGTAGTGGTGCACCGCACCTGAATAATTCATAAGGCCGCATAGTGATTTCACCTCATTGAATGGAGCCGTCGGCGCGCGGCCGTGATTACGACACCGATACCTCCGATATGTATCGAACGGCCACGTGTCCATGGATTGCGGACATATAACAATGCGCTTGTCAACTGCAACCTATATAATTGTAGAGCCCACAGGTAGACTAGGTAGATTAGCTAGATTGTAAATTTGGAGCGCATATACCTACTGTAGTCAAATAAATATATTTGCATCTTGCGCAGCGAAATTACTTTTTCATCCCACCACCTCGGAAAGTGTAATTTTGCGCTTCGAAATCTGGCTGGAAAATTCTATTTTATTCGCTTGAGCGGCAAAGTAGATTTGAATTTAGAACATCACATATAATGAGTACTCAATATAATTGTAAATTCAAAACGTCATTAAACCTATTTAATGTAACCTCTATGGTGCCAAATTTATGATTAGAACTTTTTAAATTGTGAAAAAATTTAAATTTGGAACCTTCTTGGTTTCTTTGTTTTATTTGCGTGCTTCGCGCCATTCTAGTTTTTCACGTTTTATTGCTTAAATATTTTGTCATTATAAATTGTTTTCTTTTTCATTTTGTCATTTCCTCGCTGAGGTGGGATGAAAAGTTACGTATTGCACTCGAGTGGAAAGATTTTTCACCTTGTGCTCGTTTGTTTCCCTCGCTGACGCTCAGGATTCTAATTTAGAATCACTCGCTGCGCTCGTGATTCAACTTTAGAATCCTTCGCTTGCTCGGTCATCCAAATCGAGCACGCGGTTAAAAAGGAACTTTCCACTCTTGTATAATAAATAACTATTAACTTATACCTATATTCTTCAGTACCCTTAGCACGAACCAATGTCGAATTCGAATAGTTTGCGAGTGCGAAATGTTATTGTCGAAATTTGTATGGAAATTTGAACAGCAGCGCCACAACGGACGTAACGAGAACTAAAATTCAGTACACATTTGACAATGACATTTCGGACTCGCAAACTATTTGAATTCGATAATGATTCGTGCTAGGGGTACAGTTTCCTAGGTACTCTGCAAATATAAAACAAGTATATTTGAACAATGTACCTATTCTGTCAGTTATCTTTTACGATACTGAAACCTGAATCTTCATATATACGTACCTACTACATAATGTCCAGGGGTGTATTAGGGCCATGGGCCGGGGCGGCAGGATGCGAGGGGCGGCTGCAAGATCTGCGTGGGGCGGCTAAAGCCATATAAAGCATTCGTTACATACTTACCCATATTTTTATTATATTTAATAATTCTCAGGGCACCAAATTTTAAATTCGACCGTGTCCCTGCGATCGCTGGAAACAAAACTAGTTGTATATAGTCAGTAGGTACACCAAGCTAGAACTACGAACACAAAGTTTCTATGGAAACTATGCAGCGCCCCTACCCGACGCAAGAACAAAACTTTGATATAGCGATACGAGTACCTTCTCGCTAGTTGTTCGTGCTTGGGGTACAGTTTGAGCGACAGTGAAACCATTGGGTGTCGAATTTTCTCGTCATTTCGTAATACTTTGTCGTTACGGGGTGATTAAATATTTCGCGTATGCATAACTGGTACACTTAATTTAAATTGAAGTTTATTCGACATTACATAGGATAGCTCAAGAAAATTTAGAAAGTCATCGGGTTATTTGCGTTAGCGACGCTTTGGACATCGTAACATTTTGCGCGGCTTATGCATTCAATTGGCAGATTCTGACATAACAAGGTACAACATGTTTTATCTATTGACCATGGTAAATTGTTTACAATATTCTTTACAACATACGTAGGTATCAGTCCGCAGACAGTAAGTTGCAGTAAAATTTTTACGAGTCTGGGCCACCTGATTGATATCTGAAAATTGGCCCACAGCACAAGTTAGCAAGTATAATTAATTATATGTATACGATCATTATACACACTGATACTATTAAATTGTCCATATTTTGTCCAAAGGTCTTGCGGTCTTTGGATCTTGTACTATTTGGACAAAATTAAATATAAATTTTTATACATAAGCACGACATAAGTGTCGGACGCGGTGCATCAGTGTTTTCACACTTATTTTTTTTTATTACAAATTGCGCTTGACATGCCGAAGATCCTAAAAGTACATTTAATTGAATTTTATATTTAAATTCATTTTCACGGTGATAATATATAACGGTTACTTTAAAAAGTATGTTTTATGATACCTATTTGTAAACGCTAAAAATATTTTTTTATGTATGGGGGTATAAAACGTTTCCTGGTTATAAATGTACCCTTAGCACGAACCAATATCGAATTCGAATAGTTTGCGAGTGCCAAATGTCATTGTCAAATGTGTACTGATTTTTAGTTCTAGTTACGTACGTTATGGCGCTGCTGTACGTTTCCATAAAAAAATGCCATTGACATTTCGCACTCGCAAACTATTCGAATTCGATACCTATTGATTTGTGCTCGATATTGATTCGTGCTAGGGGTACTGATCACTCCTTTTAATTCTACTATTTACAAGTTTCTCAGTCTCCGTAGCATGAGCACTACAATTTACATTATATCACGTTTTTTATCGCGTCTAATGGTAGCCATACACACTACGAGAAATCGTTACCATTAGACTGTACCGTCCGAACGGTACCGATAAATCGTAGCGTGTATGTTATAAGGCGCTTTGCAGACAAGGGGCGGGCCGGGCCGAATTTCGCCGCGAACGATAGCACAAAGTGAATCCTATATTACAAACGCACACAGAGGGCAAAAAGACCGCGCTGCAGGTACCCGGCGGGCACTGGCGGCGCGGCATGTCCGCGGCTGCCCGCCGTGGATCATACAAACCAGTTTATATGCAGTAACGCAGACGGCGCGGCTCGGGGCGGTCAGCTCAGTCCGCGCCACGCGCTTTTTAGTGATGGACTATTCACTAGAACGAACGTCCTGGGGGCCAATCGCCTAACGGAAATGCTTTGGGAAACGCTAACGCTTACGATTTTATATTGTTATTTCTAGCCGCCTGAGGTTTTTGAATGCCTCACGCTCATTTTTTTAATATTGTTATTACCAATGCAAAAGAAAAAGAAAGAGCGCGAGGCATTTGAATACCTCAGGCGGCTAGAAATAACAAAATAAAATCGTAAGCGTTAGCGTTTTCCAAAGCATTTCCGTTAGGCGATTGGCCCCCTGAACTGACCGCCTCTGCCCGTTGTGTACTTTGTGTACGCGGCGCGGGCAGCCGCAGACATCGACGGGCAGACGCGGTTTTTATTGCTTCGCGGACAAAATGCCCGCCCCGACCCCCGTCGTCTGCAAAGCGCCTAAAACTGCAGTTTCCTATACGTACGCCACGTACGATAAACTGTTCCGTTCGAACTGTACAGTCCGATCGTAACGATTTCTCGTAGTGTGTTTGGCTACCATAACTGTCAAACTACATAGTGATTTGCCAATTGAACGTGATAAAAACTGAGATGTTGTGAGGGCTTGTGGTGAATAACAACAACTTTGGGTGTATTGCATGTATTTCCATAGAAGATGTTATCTTATATACTAAATCAATACACGAACATACGTGCTAGGCAAGGAGACTTCTAATCAGTGCTGTCATATCTAAGTACCAACTTTTTGGTAGATCTACCAATTTTCACTTCAGTCTACCTATCTACCACCCTAGACCTAAAAACTACCTATTTTTTAATTAGTTTGACATATCACCACTTTGAATTATTTTTATATCGACGAGCGACGTTGCGATGTATTGCGTGAGCCATGCAACGATGCGTCAAGCATACATAGAGTCCAGGCCATAAACCACAAAAAAAAACGTCAGCAACAGTTCGCCATGAGTACGGCGTTCGCACAATTTCGCGCCCATATTTTACTATTCCTACTGTGGCCTATTCCCGGTTGGTTTGTTGCGGAATCAATGTTGAATCTTTGCTCCTGTTTTATTGTAAAAACTAATTAATTGCGTATTAACGGTGCTGATTGCTGTTCCTTTTATGTTGCGTGCATTTATTTATATATAATGGATTCTGACAGCAGCCAAAGCGATGCACATAGTTCTAGGTTAGGGACTCAGCAAAGAGAACCTAGAAAAAGGCACTCTGACCAAAAATATTCGAAATTATGGGAGAAAGACAAGGAATTTGCAGGTTGGCTTCAAGAAATTACAAAGGGTGATGGATATTTTTATTGCAAATCATGTAGGTGTGATCTGAAGTGTGCCCTGCATTGCATTGCATGCATTTTTAATCTTAAAAAATCTTCTAAATTGAGGTGGTAGATCTACCAATTTTGCATTTTACATTCTACCAACTTCTACCAACATTTGGCACATAATCTACTAATTTTCTAAAATTCGGGTTGGCAGCACTGCTTCTAATCGGTTTTGGGGGATGATTATCATTACTTATAAAGTATACGTGTTTTAACTTCACCACACCTCAACTGAAAACGTTAGGCGTCCCTCCCCTGAAAAGGAATAGCTCTTAATCTATACATTTCTTAATCCTATTCTTATGTACAATATTTTATATTCTTTATCGTTTCTTAATATTTTAACATTTGGACCTATTTCCTCTACGACAAGATACGGTCCTAAATACAGATCATTCAATTTATTATAGTTTTCATTTTTAAGCCATACTAAATCACCTTTTACATAATTATTACTACTACAAGTTAAATCATATTTTAATTTTCTACTTATTTTCGTATTTAACAAATTATTTCTAGCATCAGATTGTGCTTTTTGTAATCTAAATTTTAACTCTAAAGGATAGTCGTCATATACATACAATGGTTCAACCATATCTACTAAGTTGCTGGGTACATTACACATTTTCCCAAAAACTAGTTCATAGAGGGAATATTTTGTACTTGTATGAACAGAAGTATTATATGCAAAAAACCATGTACTCCAATTAGATAATTGATTTTTAGTTTGTATCCTTAAATAACAACCTAGATGTTTATGCCAATTTTCTAAAGATCCTATACTCTCATGATGATATGGTGTTGAATTTAATTTCTGGATTTTTAACAATTCACATACATTCTTCAAAATGGAATTAATAAATTCCGTTCCACAATATGTTGCGATAACTTTAGGAATACCATATCTTAGTATAAAATTTTCAACAAAAACTCGAGCCTTATTTAATTTAAATTGCCCCTGGGAAGACTGTCTTTTGTCTTTACTTAATTTAACTATACTGTCTCTAACAATTTTTAAATCACTCAATAAGTCCGTAAGACTTGCCATTAATTTTACACACTACACACTCACTATACATTTGAGGCGCCTATGGCACGACGCGTAACTAATCGATCCAGCTCGTTCAGGATATATTCGTTAAGGTAACGGACTGCTCTCAAGATTATGTATAGTGCCATCATCACCACAATAATCAGCAACAAAATCTCCGTTAACTCTAAACCAAATGTTTCGGCTTTAGTCGTGGTCACACTTGCTGTTTGACTAACGCTAACGTTGTCTTTAGACTGTTGTGTGCCCATTATCTTGAATCTTGAACCCGTTTCTAGAAAAAATATCAGCAGAAAACTTACAGGCTGGTCTTCGTGTTGCTCCTTTCAGCACCAGGATGGTCTTCGCTGAAACCGAGGTCTCGACCCAACTCAACGTCTTCTTCCGAAGCAGCACGAACCTTTTATGTCACGGTCGCCATGAGATGTTGTGAGGGCTTGTGGTGAATAACACAACAACGTTGGGTGTACTGCATATATTTCCATAGAAGATGTTATCTTATATACTAAATCAATACACGAACATACGTGCTAGGCTAGGGAGACTTCTAATCGGTTTCGGGGGATGATTATCATCACTTCACCACAAAACAAGCTATATATCATATCGCGGTGCTCATGCTAGGGGTGCTGGTAACTCATAATTCACGCTGTATATTCAAAGTGTGAGGACAGACTGGCCAAAAAGAGAGTGAGACTCGTGTTAAATTAAATCACATGAGGACTTAAATAAATTTACATATATTCAGTCAACACGGAACACACAAAAACCGGTCAAGTGTCAAAGTTGGAAAATTCTAGCAAAACTGTGGCTAATAAAGCTGTGGGGACAATTATATTATTGAAGACCCTATCTATATTTTATATCATTTCCTTTTTTATATATATATTTGACTTCTGTATGGTAACTATACATTATACTCGTATATGCCTACCTTAATGATTAATTGCTAGCTAAGCAAGTAATAAATGCATTACAAAAACCAATATACTGCTTCAACTGCAATAATACAGGTTATTCTACCAACATACAGTATTAAGAAACCTGTGGTGAAAACTTGAATTTCAAAATAGGTAAGTAACTACTTAATTACAAACTATCTACTCGGCAAGTAATATTTTTTTTGTGATTCATAATTCCACATAAACAAAATGGTGGGCAGAAATTAGTAAACATCCGAGAGCTACCTGTAAAGACAATAAAAAAAACTCTTTTTCGAACGTGGAAGTAGGTACCTTTTCCTTTTTCTTAATATTTTCCACCAAATAGTTATAATAAAACTTATTATTATGTGTATTATACCTATATCTGAAAACGGCGCGTAACAGGGCAGGTTTATTCCCCCGCTGCTGCCGGGCGGGCGGGCGCGGCAGGTAAAAATGAAGAGATTGGTTTTTATCTGTGCAGGCGGCAAATTGAATGTAAAGTTGATTTCCCGGCGGGCCGCGCCGCATAATTCCACGCAAATTAAGCCGATGCCGATTCAGTTGCTACCAATGTAAATATTTTTGATAAATAGCTCGCTTTATGTATCTCCCTACTCGTGCCTGCGAAACTGGTCGATATAAAGTCAAGAGTCAACGTATTTCGGTAAGACGCATATTTGGCGTAAATATTTACCCTACAATACAAAGGTATCTTATATGCCTTAAGTTGAGATAATTATAACGAAATTTTCACTCGCATTGGAACGGCAGTCTGACGAAATATTTACCCTCCACTTTTACACAACTGTCAAAAAAAGGGTTTGTAACGTTTTCAGAGTTCATGTGTTTGTAAGTGCATTTCTTTATTCGATCAAGGGTACCCAGAGAGTACCCAGGTTGAATTGCTGATGTCATGTAGCTAGAATTTCTAGCACATTACTAAGCTAATATTAACCGCAATTGGACTCTATACATTTAAGTTCAGGTAAATAAAACGGATAAAATTCCTTTGGTAACGATTCTGCGTTCTTGATGCTTACAGCACTGAGCAAGTTATAACTACATACAACTTGAAAAAAAAATTGAATCTGGTGAGAGAATTTTGATTGTGAGACCCAAAATATCGTTGGTGGGACCATAAACTGTTGGATGGCTATAAAAACCTACATAACAATAATCTCTTGCCTATGTTTTAGTACTACCGAACCGACATTATTGGTTAAGGCAGCAGGTCAGTAAATTTTTATGAACATAATGTATATTTTCTTTCCTTTACCGAAGAAATAGATACAATTGTAAATAAATAATTTTATTTATCACTTTTTAACATTCTTGGGCGGTATGGGGCACTCGTAAATAACAACGCATTTGTCTTTGGCAACTGATAGTAGTCTTTGACCCTTTGGATTAAACTGCAATCCCCATACCTGTAATACAAACAAATCATTTTTACTAAAAATGTAACATTTTGTAACGCGTAAAGACGTTGCATCCATAACTAAAACCCTGTGTAAATCTAAAGAAAATTTTGCTAAACAATCCACGCGATTTGCTAACAAATCCAGCAGACGGAACTCGAACCTGCACCCTCCGTTATTCGGCGTATGCACTGACCATTATACTATTGTGGCCCTAATGGCCGTGTCGAATTATTTCTAGTATTTCTTAGGCTGCAAAGCAGCGGCCATCTCTTCGTCCCGTCCCGTCTGCTATCTGGCCCGTTGGAAGTTTTTCTAGTAAAATTTTCTTTACATTTAAACATCTAGCAGATAAGTGCTTAAAAATAAAGATAACCGTTTGACGTTTGGTCTGCGACAGAGAAAGCTGAGCAATATTCACAACGGTCGATCAAAAAATGGGTGCCCAAAACTTCATTATATCTAGGAACGTGTCGTCCACCGTCAGACTATCCAGGGAAGTGACGCGAACGCTTCCATCGCTATAGGAATTCGCCATCCCAGCTACTTTCTGGAGAAATCACGACGCGCACAGCCCACGACTTGTACTCCATCGCATTTTTAGACCCACACAACACTCACAGTATCCGTGTGTTCCCGGAACGTGTTAGCGACGGTCAGACCATCCAGGGAAGCGACGCAGACGCTGCCGTTACTAGAAGAAGTCGTGAGCGTGCTACTACCTAGAGAAAACACGGCGCGCGAAGCCTGCGACTTGTGCTATATTGTATTTTAGACCCCCACAATACTCACAGTATCCGTGTGTTCCCGAAACGTGTTGGCTACCGTCAGACCATCTAGGGAAGCGACACGGACGCTTCCATCGCTAGAGGAAGTCGCCACCCGGCTGCCGTCAGGCGAAAACACGGCCCGCACAGCCCACGACTTGTGCTCCATCGTACATTGGACATTGGCACTAGCACTACAAATAAAGAAGTTGATGTTATAAGCTTAATGCTAGACTTTAATAAGGCCGCTGTTTTAAAGTTGACATTATGTTGATCTGGTTCCGAGAGAAAAAAAAAGGTTAATCAACTTTTGTTTCCAGGACAACCCAAAATGGTTAGATTCATTAAATAGCCAACAAATTGCAATAAAACAGTTTAAATAAATATAACTGGTAGGTAGTATGTGTACATATTAAGCCCATCAGAACATACATTTTATGCCCATCTTTAAAGAAATAAGTTAGAGTATGTAATTTTCTTTTTATTTTTATGTTCATTAATTTTTATATTGCAATCAAAAGATAGCAATAACCAGAAGTTGTACTTTACTCACACATCATAAAGTTTGACCTTTCCATCATCTGATGCAGTAAGAAGCAACTTAGAGTTGGGAGAAAAGTCAATACTTCTAACTGTCTGGCTGTGTGCCTCAATAGTGTGCAGCAGTTTGCATTGAGCCACATCAAATAAGCACACCACACCATCTACAGCCCCAGTGGCAATGTACCGTCCATCTGGACTCTACAAAAACAAAGTTGAAGAATCAAACAGAAACATGCATTTTAACACTTAAGTGTGAGTTGCAACAATTGACTTTAACTGTTCACTTCAAGTACCAGTTAGGTAAAAAATGGGTTGCACAATTTGATGATAGTCAAAATGAGGTAATAACTTGACAGTGACAATGACTGTCCAAGGCTGTTTAAGATATAGTAAAATTTAACTTTCACTGGCTCTGAAGTGCAACTCAAATTAAAACAAAAGTAAAACCCACCCAAGCAACGCATAATACAAATTTTCCTCTGGTGTCAAATGTTTTGCTAATGCTTCCATTTCTAATATCATAGATTGCCACTTTACCACTATGGGTGCCAGTGGCAACCTCACTCCCATCTGGAGAAAACGTTACCTGCCAGATATCTGTTATACCTGTATCCACTTGGTGGACTTTTTGCCCAGACAATAGGTCCCATATTATTAATGTTGAGTCTAAGGAAGTGCTTGCTATACCTGAGAGATAAGAGTTAAAGCTTTAACAACAAAAGATTAAACATAATGTTAATAACAAATGAAATTATTGACTCTTTCCTAATGTGTTACAATAAAGTGTAATGTGCTTTATCTTACTGTGTCCATCAGGGCTAACAACAACTGAGACAACCGCCATCGTATGCCCAACTAATGAGTGGATTAGTTCCAATTTGTTGTTTTCAAATAACCATACTTTTACCAGCCCATCTAGTCCTCCAGTGAGTATAAATTCCTTTGACGGCCCCCTGTGGAATGTTTAGATATATTCATAAAACATTTGCTTCATTTCTAAAATGTGTACTAATGGCATTATTAAGATTTGACTTACTCTACTTACTTTGGGTCATTTGTTGTACAAGTGTTTGTCCAAACACAACAATATATAGGGTCCTCATGGGCATTCTCTTTTTTATATAATATAGAATTCTGTTTAGAAGAAAAATATTATTTTACAACTCTATATGCAACCTATTATGCAGCTAAACCAAAACAAATTGGAATATACTTACAATAGATGGGGCCGGCATTACTAAATAAGTAAATAAATCTAAAATTACAAGTAATATTTATATTAAAAACTACAGGCGTAATTTCAAATGGTTTGTTTTTAATGCAACGCCGGCACTTCACTTGGGTATTCGTAATTAATATTTGTCATTTTGACAGCAGTTTGTTCTCATGTCCTCGTCATGCTCAATAGTGATAAAGAGAAACTAACTGATGTCGTCTCGTCAGTCGTCAGACGCTGTAAATACGAATAGCGACTGAATTACTTTCAATATGAAGTGCCTTTTGAAGCGAAACAATAAAAAAGACATAAAAAGGACTCAGAATCCTTTGCCCGTCCCAACAGAACTTAATACTACAACATGTTCCTTTACCATAAAATGGAACGTTTATAAAGTATTACTTTTCTCCACTAGATGGCAGTAGTGTCAATTTACTTCTCCGTCCTGATTTATGTCGTATTTTTTCTACGCTAGATGTAGATGCCGTTCGGCAAAATTTTTGTTTTGCACTAGCTGTACCCCGCGGTTTATTAAGATTTTTTTTCCAGATGTAAAACGTAGCCAATGTGTTAATGTCAGCTAACTCCATACTAAATTATATCAAAATCACTCCAGCCGCACTGCCGCATTTAGGGGAGGGCAACCGGGGCCAAAGCCCCGGGGCCTCCACGAACGGGGGGCCCCCACAATAGAGACTTCGGAAAAAAAAATCTTTTAAAATTCCAGCTAGTAAACATGTTTTCGGTTCCGTTCGTTAACTCTAATATTTAATTTCAGATAATTCTCGTTTCCGTTTATATTTATAGGTGTTTGTTCAATACTAAGGGAATCTACTTGGTTCACAATAAATTATTTATTGACGTGACAACGTCTTAAATTAGGTTGCGGCTGGGAGTCACTTATGAAAAAGTGTAACGCTCGGTAACGTTACGATGAGTCTCGTAGCATGCTGGAACCCCGTAGCCGTGTAGCAAGTTTGCTACGAATCGTCGTAGCGTGGTTGCATGCTACGATGGTATTCACAAGCACAATGCATTGTAATATGTTTTTTTGACGTATTATATATATTTCTATAGTTAAAATTTGTGCAATTCTTATTTTCATTCAATTCCTTGTTCCTATTGTGCAATTTAATTATATTCATATCAATAAATATTCTACCGAGAAAAAGACGTTGTCACGTAAAATCTTCGCCCGTAAAACCGACTTTACAGGCAACCATTTTTTTGAAAAACTCGACTGAAAAAAATTTTTTTACTTTATTTAGAAAATAATTTGGGGTGACGGGGGCCTCCGCTCCTCTGTTGCCCCGAGGCCTCTGGACCTCTAAATCCGGCCCTGTCCAGCCGTTTAGACATGAAGAAAACAAACATACACACTCACAAACTTTCGCCTTCATAATATTAGTGTGATTTTGTGATGGATAATGCATGCACTATCCAGTAGGCAAAAAATGCGTGCAAATAAAATGTTTAGAATATACTTAGTTTTTGGCTAACCAATCTTTCTAAATGACTTCATGCAGTAGCTAAGGGGTAATACTAAGCTAAGGGCAAATAAGTTGATACATAATTCAACCAATGTTCAAAACTTCAAACCAATAGCATTCTAAGGATCCTGACCTGGCTAATTTGAGGTTCAAGAAATGTTTTATTTAAATCTTATAAAATTTATTTTTTTTATTTTAAACTTTCCACTATTTCTAGTTAAATACCATATTTTTCTTTAATATTAGTTCATATGTGCATTTGTTTGTATTGAAAAGATGCGTACAAGCAAAATAAAAGACAAAAATTTCAATCCATAAGATTTACTAAACTATAAAGGACAGTCATAAATATTAACACTTTTATCTTCTGATACTGATACAATTTTATTACTTTCTGCATTGAATTTCACACCCCATACCTGTAAAACAAAATTTCATTTACAAAAATATTCTATTATATTCTCTTGTTTCATAAAAATTAATAATTTTAATGATATTGAACCTGTTGTAGTACCTGATCTGAATGTTCTTTAAATACATTTTGGCATTGCATGCTGTCAAGGTCCCATACACGAACAGTGCGGTCTGCACTTCCCGACACAAATCTTTTTCCATCAGGAGAAAAGGCTACGGAGAGCACCCATGATGCATGACCTGATAATGTGCCTGCTAGGTTTGCGTGAACTCTGTGACAACAAAATTAAATGTTACAGTTACACAATCAATACACTTATAAATGCAACAGAATTAACATTTAGCTATTGGTTGTAATAAACAGATTTCACACTATGTACCGCTACTGATATTATAAGTTTGTGAGTAATCAAGACAGTTTTTTTTTTATTATTACCCAAAAAACAACTTACACATCATAGAGTTTCATATGCCCATCATCAGATGCTGTTAATAGCAATTGTGAATCTGGTGAGAAACATAAACTGCGTATAGGCATTGCATGGCCTTCTAAGGTATGCACAAGTTTGCCTTGTGCTACATCAAAAATATTTATAATTCCATCTAAAGCTCCACTAGCAATATATTTCCCATCTGGACTCTGAAAACATTTTTTTTTTATAAGTGACTATTATTTGTAATACACAGCATATAAAAAACAAAAAAACTGTCAAAACACTTCATTAAAAACATTGGATCAATATATTTAATTTGCTGATCATTAATAAAAAAATATATATCTCACAATCTGTTTGTATTTTTTTTTTATTTCATATATTATTCCTTATTATAATAGGTATTCTATCCATTACCCTAGTATGCCATAACACAAGCCTTAACAGTGCTTACTTTAGGGCTAGGCTAGTTGGTGTGTTAGAAACATTTATTTATATAAAATCAGTGGTGTTTAAGTCTTGACATGAATAACTAAACCTAAACTTAAATTTGACAACAGTATATCTGTGTCATTCTCTATAGAGAAAGAAAAGGAGAGCCTGATGTTAAATTTAGTTTTAAGTTTAGAGAATCATGTCAGAATTGACACCAGTACATCATTAGTCTAGCATTAAAATAGATTATCTAATTGATGTTTATGGTTTGCTGTTTGTTATTTTTGTTTTAGTCTTTTTTCAATTCATTCATTGTAACTAAAATGGAAATAAAATATACAAAACATCCATCAGATTTTTTGTAACAACATAGTGAATGCCTATGTCAGGATATATTTAATATATCCTGACAACATAATATATCAACTTGTAAAAATAGTTTTATACTTTAGATATATCTAAAGATATAAAACTATTTTTACAAAACAACACAAATAAGCTTACAAAAGCTACACTCAGGGTGAACTTTCCTCTTGTGTCTAAAGTTTGTTCTTGTTTACCACTCTCCACATTGAATATCAAAATTTTTCCAGCATTACTCCCTGAGATGACATGCTTGCCATCTGGTGAAAAGTCCAATGTCCATACATCAGTGGCCCCTGTTTCAAATGTTTTCAACTTGTCTCCTGATGCAATATCCCATAATATCAAAGATGAATCTTGAGAACTACTGGCCAATGCTAAAAATTTATGTTTATATTGATTTCGAATTCATATAATAGTAAAGGTCACATTAGTAATACAATAAATGAAATGTATAAGGGTAAATAAGACCTGTGGCCATCAGAGACATCAAATAATGTAATTTTAAATAAAACTTAAAAGTTACTCCACACATTTGAGTGCGGCTGTAAGGATCTTTATATTGAATTCTTCCTTTATGAGGTTTTCCTGTTATGTGGGTTATTTTAAATACAATCAACAAAAAAAGTGAAATTAAAGTTTTATCTCACTTTTTCCATCTGGACTCACTGCCACTGATATAACTCCCAAAGAATGCCCTTCTAATTGATGTTTTACTTCTAGTTTTCCATTTTCAAGTTGCCAAACTTTTATCAAATCATCTAAACCACCAGTAATTATGTAGTTTTCTGAAGATTCTTGTGGATTATCGTAGTCCCTATAGTAAAAATCAACACAATTTTCACAAATTATAAATCATCACTCAGCAACCTAAATATTTATAGAATTTAAATGTATGATATTGATAAATCATTAGACAACTAAAGATAAACAGTAACTCTATTTTAGCGTAACAATACAAACAATGGTATATATTTTTATCATTTATTTTGTTATAAAAGATCGAAATCATTAGGATAAAAATTAACTCACTGTGACATTTCAATGTTTTCTTCATCTTTCTGCTTTTCATTTCCAATTTTACTCCAACCGCAACACCAAATTGAATCTTCATGAGCGTTTTCTTTTTTTAGTTGCAAATAATACTGAAACATATAAAACAAAAAAATTAAAACTTTATAGTTTAAAAACTTGCCGGCAAGGTATAAAACAAAGTTTACCAATGTTGTAATCGACATTTTTTATAGTGAATATTGTGGCATAGAAGGACACGAAATATTTATATAATTAGCCCTTTATTAATTTTATATATTAATTAATTTTATAAAAAGCACAATTTAAAAATTGGTACACCATAAAAAGCAAACAACTATTGACGTATTGGCTGCCAGTTGGCTGCCAGACATTGACACTGACAGTTGACTCAGGGTTGCCAGTGCCCTATTTCAACGTCAACTTATGTCACTGACTAACGTTTTGTTTCCTACAATAGGCTAGTTTACTCATGTCGAATTGTATTAAATAAATGTTTATTTCTTAAAGTATTTGGTCGAAGGAACCTAAATATATCGATTTCACTTCATAAAAGCAGAAGATTGCTGTAGAAATTTAATTTTAAAAAATATTTTTTAGTCTATATTTTTTAAACACTAAAAACGCTGTTCACCACATCCGCCATGATTTTGACGTCTCTTTTGGTAAACAACTAAATGTCATTCGCGTGTTACTTTAGGTGGATTCTTTCGTCTGACTAAATTTATCTTAAAACACTTTTAACTTTAGGCAAGAAAAAAACAATAAACTTAGTTTTTTTTTGACAAAACTAATTATGGTTGCCGGCTTTGTGAAAGCAGAAAGCACAAATCTGCCAAGAATTGACGCATTGATGGTTGGTGAATTTGTTGCACTGAACCCCGATTTCTGCTCTGCGGAGCAGAGAAACGACAAAGCATCTATGTAAGTACAGTGCATTTAGTATTACAATGTAGTAATAAACATAAAACTGATACAACATATGAATAAGTGTAATAAAGTTGCGTAGGTTAATTTCTTTCGGCACTTTAATCCACAACTTTCCTGGAGTCTTCAAGGATGTGTTTTTATATTCTCGTACAATACAGTAATGATAATTACTTTATTTTTCGTGGTATTTATTAGAAATCATGTTTTTTTTTATTATAAACTCAGTTTTAAGTAATTTTCTACGTGTTTACGAGTTTTTGTTTACCACAGTTCACGTCATAGCATAGATAATCTATAGACTAAAATGGCCGACAGCGTTTTTGTATGTCCATGAAAAGTCTATTTTAAAATTAAAGATTTGTAGCTTTCTAGGTTTAAAAAAAATACATTACATTTTTTTTCAGTATAATAGAACATTTATTAACCATTTAAAACCTTTTTCCAAAAAGGGTCAACTAGCCTATTAAGCGGGCATTGTTGGAGTAAGTGAAAATTTGTTATATAAACCCATGTTTAAGTTTGATCACAATAATGTACGCTGGTCGCTTTTTGTTTAACACCGCTCAATAGTCCGTATCTTACTTTAGTTACTAAGTGGCTCTCGGCAAAAGATTGAAAACATGTTAATTCTCCTGTATAAGAATACAATTTGACAACAGTGTATCCTGTGATGTTAAATTCTCTTCAACAGCCCTCCTTTAGCCCACTCAGAGCACCGGGGGAACAATAAAAGAAAACCAAAAAATTAAGATAATGTTATAAGTATATTTTATCCACTTTAGATACCAAAGCCTAGGACTTCAGTAGATTTAAGTTATTGCTTATATAAATCAACAAGTCTAACTATGTTTATTATTTATATAATAACTATGTTTCACTAATTATAAATATCTAAGCTGAATACAGTAGTTCAAAGTTAATGTGTATATAAACCAACAAGTTGTCATGAAAGGTTATAATCATATGAATATCAAACATTCATAACACTTTACCATGTACTTACAATATAATCCTTACTAATATATTTTATCCACAAATACCACATAGACTAGACTGAATAAGCTATTGAGTGGATTTCAGAGGTTCTACGGCTCGTTTGATCGATATTGGTGACAAACTTAGTTAATTCTAGTTCTCAGTGAGATAACCAGCTATATAGATATATGTAAATATATGGAAATGGGTAAGTCGGGGTCCAACCTCGCCTGTTGTTTCCTTTTCACGTCCACCCGGGGTTAGTAGAGAAATACCTTGACTATGATAGGTTAAGCTGTGTATAATCTGTCTGCTGTTCGGCCGGGTTACATAAAACCGGAGAGCGGCTGGCAAGTAAACTCCCGCGCCCCTTCTGGTCCGTACACAGAACAAAAGTCTCCTTGTTAGTCCTCCAGTATTTCTTGAGGGGAACGTACAAGCCTGAAGTTCACATTGAAAAAGAATGATCAGATATGGGGAAAATACATAGATTACCACATCTGTGGTGGGTGAGGGAGTGAGGGATATTCACGGTCAATGTTTACACTTTAAAATTTGAATCAATACAGGACTGGGGGCCCGTCCCACCCGGTTTGAAGAAAATCAATTCCACGTTCACTAACTTGACAAGAATGATTAGGTATATTTGATGACAAGAATCACTATATTGTGCATAATGCAGTTCAATTAGTGCTAGGAGAATAAATATGAGGTCAGAGGATAGCTTACCGTTCGAAATATGAAACTATCCGTAAGTATTTTGTTTCCTATCACGGGTTACCGCCTTATTGTTGCAATTGCCTTGCGAAGGTTCGTGTTCGTCCACCTACGATACAGAATATCAACAGAAAGGTTATTTTCACAGCCCAAACTTGCAAATTATGTAGGAAAAGAGAGCCACTCCAATATACCTACGAAACTCAGTTCGGTTAGCGACTCCGCGCTTTTTCCGCCAATATCCCTCGGGATATAAACTTTTCGGATCTATCTCACGACTTCGACGACAATAATATGCCGTTTATTATACTTTGGGCAGAAGAAAAGATGAAAAGTTAACTGTACCACAAACAGATTGTGAAATTTTAAAAGTTGTTTTGACAATTGCTCATAGATGATAGACGAATCGTCTACTCCCAAACATGTGTCTATGATTTGTTTCCCACTTCAACTGAAGGCAAAGGCCACAGTCAAACAGACAGCCGCCGCATTCGAGACGAACCGAAGAATAAACTCAAAACTATATACCTACGCTCGCCGTAAGCTGAGGAAAAGGAATACCTACCCAAATCAGCGAGGAAATTCAATTTCGAGTAAAATTCAAAATCGATTAAAAAACAGCACCCGATAAGGAGGACTCAAATCGATCTGGGAAAGACTATTCAAAATTCAACAACTGTCAAACTCCATCCATTCATCCACGCGCCCCCACAGAGATTCCCAGCCTGATTACTTTTATAAGTCTCAAGGCGAATATTTTAGTCGAATAGGAAAATCGACTCTTCCCTCAAGGCTACCAACCCAATCAATGAAGTTTGACAGCTACGTTGACGTAAGCGGTTCGCTATCATAGACCAAACAGCTGTCCTACGTGTGTCAGTGTCACGCTCGGTTTAAAAACAAACACTACAGTATCCCCCCACTCACGGCAGAATTCACGTAGGGAATTCGTCGAACGCCCTCGTTCGTATATCCCCATGTCTTACGTACTTTAGTTAAGATATGATTAGGTTATGTTGTATAAAATAATAGAATATTATAAACCGCTAAGTTAAGAAAAAATAAACATACAGAACGATAAATCATTGATAAATCTCTAAGTTGCAACAAAAATAGATAATAATGAATGACAATAGTAACACAAAGTGTATACCACTCAAGGCCGTACCGCAAGCATCTTTGCTCCGAAAATAGATATAATAAAAAAAAATAATTATAATGTTACCAGTTATACCGCGAAAAACATAATGGTAGAAAATTAACCAAAGAGATGTTATTGGTCAAATGTGATTTGCTCACAAAATTGCATGTTGTGTGTTCGTCCATCGTGTGTCTCATTTACTGTCTCCCGAGAGAAATAAAAAAAATATCATAAATATTCTACGCTCATCATAGGATATTATGATAAAAGTTGTTGTTAATACGTTTTCATTTGTATTAGCAACTTCAATAAAATGCCTTGGTAGGTAAAAAACTAACAAGCACATTAACAAAACCTTCTCCTGGAAAAGTTAAGAGACAATTAAGTGTTTAAGCATTAATTAGGTGGCAAACAAAGAGATCACACTATCGGGGACGAACACACACATGGGTATCTAAGATGCAGTGTGATACCAAGACCCATTGACGATTTCTACGTCACGCCGGGCAGAAGGCGGAATGGGTATTCGTCGGCCGCCACATCCACGGCGATAAGTCCCTACCTAAATATCTATTCGGGGTCAGCGCTTTTGAAATCTTTTATATGCCATTTGCCTACATACTTCCCGTTTTCGTCTTCGAGCTCGTAAACGAGTGGGGAGAGTTTACGGATTATTTTGCAACGTTCATATTTCGGTGCAAGTTTGACTGAAAAGTATTTATGAGCCGCGCTTTGTTTATACGTCCGTTTCCAAATGTAATCGCCTACGTTAAAGGAAATATCCCTACGACGCCTGTTATAATATTTAACGTTCCTATCGTGGGCTTTTCGCAGTGAGTCCTTGACCTCTTTAAAGATTTCACCTAAATGACCCAGATTAGACGCATGAGTATCCCGGGGTACTATCACTAACTCGTCAAGATCGTTGAAACCGGCATAAATACTACCATCGGTCACAGCCTCCCTACCATGAACTAACATAAACGGAGTATATGACGTGGATTCGTTCACAGAGGTGTTCATAGCGAACTGGATCTTATGAATATTCACGTCCCAAGATCTATGGTCATTTTCAACGAACGAGGCCACCGCAGTGATGACAGTACGGTTATAACGTTCGACAGTGTTAACCTGAGGGCAATACACAGGACCCAAATGGACTTGTGGTATATTATATTTGGCATACAAAGATTGAAGTTCATGGCTTACAAATTGCGATCCGTTATCGGAGATCACGGTTTGAGGTATACCATGAATCAAAAAGACATGATCCTCCAGTCGCTGAGCAATCACCCTACCCGTAGCTCGACGTAAAGGAAATAATAAACAATATTTTGTAAAGCAACACACTACTACCAGCAAATAGTTGTTTTGCTGTCTGGACATCGGCAGTGGGCCAACTAAATCGATGCTGGTGCACTGGAATGGCCGACAGCAAACTTTAGGTTCTCCCATGAACCCAGGAGTTGCCAGTGAACTGTGTTTGTATGCGTTGCAAACCGAGCAACTCTTAATAAAATCCACGGTATCCTTATACATACCCGGCCAAAAATATCTTAATTTTAAACGTTTATAAGTTTTTGCCACACCAAGATGAGCCGCGATTGGTTCAG